TCAAGCGTGTGGAATGATGAAGTTTGAAGGGAAATCATGTGAAGTTGCAAGCATAAAAAGTGTGACTTCTATTTTGCTCAAAACTCAACCAAAACTTGCGTTTCAAGGTGCTAATCACTTCTGGAAGATTGTTAACATGATTAGAAGTAAAAATGCGTAGAAATTTAGTGATTAGAAGCTGAATTGTGCATTTTAAATTCTGACTTGGAGGAAAAAGTCTGTTTCAAGGTACCAACTTTGAATCAATGGCATTCATAGCTCAAGAAATCTTAGGGCATGATCCTTGAAGCAATTGAAAGATAAGGTTACAATCTTTACAATATGCAAAGAATAGAATCAAATGGATGCTTGAGCTAAAAGTTGTGATGAGTCAAAGTTGAGAAAAAGATGCTGACTTTTTGTACTTAGAAAAATTCTATTTTTTCTCAAAAAATATCCTATAATATTTTGACTCCAAACAAGGCCTTTCTTCAAATTTGAGCTTTGATCATTGATGCTAGCTTGAAGTGGACTCCTTAAATAGTATTGTGAAACTTGAATCATTCAAAAATAACAAACATTGAAAAAGTTATGGCCTTGTGAAATTGGTGAAAATTCATGAGACGACCTATAATTTTTTGCATTCTTAGGACATCCTCCATCCATTTTCAAGCTTTGCACATGAAAGAAGAGTTGATGTTCACATCCTTAAGATCATTGTGGTGGGCTCAAAGAGATAAAAATTGACCAAATTATGATCTTTTAAAGTCACATAAGGAAATTTAACGACCTATCTAGAGGACTTGTAGTCTTTCTTCATCATTAGGCATCTTCCATATAAAATCTTCTTGAAACTTTTGAAGTTATTAGTTTATAACCCTTTAAGAGAAGCATGTCTTTAGAATTACTCAAAAATCTTAAAAGATGAGCAAGGTATAATCCTTAGAAGTTCAAAACCCTAGCTCTTAGAGCAACAAAATTCCTTGAGAATCCCTTTCAATTTTGACAAACTTTCTTGAACAAATACTTTTGTCATGTGAATAGAAGTTATTGTGGATGATAATAAGAATCCATAGCAACAAAACCACCTCCAAATATTGATAATTGAGAGAGTTATGCACTTGTGATCAAGAAATCAAGAACTTGTCCAATTAGGTCAAACTTCTTCAATCAACTCTTGCATCTTTTGATTTTCTTTGACAAATTGATGCATGATGAATCATAGTAGGCCTTGTCATGATATCACTTCAAAGTATCTTCAATTATGAAACTTGAATCTCAATAAAACTTTTTTGAAGAATGTATGGAAATAAACTCATGAACCTATAGATCAACCTGATAAAATGTGTTGTACTTTCACCTATAACATCATCAATTAGAGCAAATATTCATTGTATTTATTAGTTAAAAGTTAATCAATACAAAACATATATGATCATAATTTGTTAATCAAGGTGCTTGGTGATTTCCCGTGAGCAAGCCTAAAGATAGGGAGAAGAACCAAACCCTAGTGTGATCTTGTTATGATTGAGTTGATATGAGATGATAGAGAAATCTTAGGGGCAAAAAATGGGGTATAACAATGTGTCACCACCGTAACACCTAACAAGTGTGTCCCGCGCAGCCTTCGTCGTTGTCGAATCAGTGATTTTTCCAAACACGTTCACATCTACACGCTGATGAATGTAGAATAACACCTTCTAATCAATCTTCCTTTTGTCTCTCTGTGCGTTTCTATGTTCCTCTGTAGCATATGCTACAACCGAAACGTAACCTTCGGTAACAATCTCAAGAATATCTTGAGCACCGAATAACACGCGCATCTGAATCATCCATCTATTCCAGTTCTTGCCATAAAAAACTGGAAGTTTGGTACTCAGGTTACCATTTCCGTTCATCTTCAACCTTGTACAAAACTCTCAGATCTCACTAAACCCAGTGTTTCTCAATCCCACAGAATCAAAAAATGTGATTTTGTTTCGATTTTATTCAAGATTCAAACACGAATTCAAGAACCTAAATCAATCACACTTCCTTTGTTTCCCATGGATTCCAACCGGAGCTCTAGATACCAGTTGTTAGTACACAAGATGATGATGGCAGAAAGAATGAGATAATATATATTTATTACTTTGCAATGACGGCTACAAAAGTGTAAAGATTGATTACAAATGACAGCTACCACTAGTCTATTTATACACAAAAGTAAATTGTCACGTAGGCCCTAACAAAAGGTATACTTAAAGACTAAGTTAACAAGCAGACTAAATTTAACAGCTACGCTAACAAAATAAACTAAAACTCCAGAAGCTAAGCATACTTCTGCACATAATCTCAGAAGCTTCTGCTTCTGACTAACAACCTCAGAAGCTCTACTGCTCTTGAGCAACACTACTTCTGATTCTAATAACTTCTAAATATGAATTATTTCCAACAATATTCGTGTCGGAGAACATTTTTAGTGTTGTGAATACATTGCTTCATATGTTAAAATTTGCTTTTGTGACTTTAATTGAGAGAATATTATGAGAGAACGAGGCAAGAATAAAGGTGGACTGAAATTCAGTTTGAATCATAGAGAGAAACTAGCCTCTCAAATTGCCTATATTATCCTTCATCTATATAGTTTTCTTTAATGCTTAATATGAATACTTGTGGTGTGATATCAAGTTCTGTTATTCCCTCTTAGTTACATACCAGTTTTCCTACATTTCCATGATATAATAGAACTTCCGTCCATTTTTATTTATGGGATCTATCGGATTCCAACTTCTTTTAGAACATTAACTTGTTTTATGTTGTACGATACATTTGCTAAAGGATATATGTAATTACTTTTTTTTTGGAAATTTTTTTTTCAATTTTAGAAAATAAAAAAAGCTGACTTTTGCGAAGAAAAAAAATTGATTTTTTTCTCAAAAATAAGAAAAAATATTTTTTCTTAAAAATATTTAAAAAGTCGGTTTTTTCTTTTAAAATAAAAATTTCAATTTTTTATCGAAAATATTAAAAGTCAACTTCTATTAAAAAAATCAATTTTTGTTGAAAAAAAAAGTCAATTTCATGAAAATAAGAAATTTTGGTTTTTTCGAAAATAAAAATTTCAATTTTTTATCGAAAATGTAATAAGTCAACTTTTTAAAAAAAAATTGATTTATTGTTGAAAATAATAAAAATCAATTTTTTCGACAATAAAAAAGTTGGTTTTTGTGAGAAAAAAAATCAATTTTTTTATAAAAAATATTTTATAAAAAGGTTGGAGTCTTGAGGCCTTACTTAGATTAAGCTCTACTTATTTTTGGACTCGTTACTTTTAAAATTTTAAACTCCTATATTCTGGGAGCCTTAACAATTAGGCCTTGACCCCTTAAATTAACAGCTCTAACCTTATTTAAATAAATTTTTAATTAAGCGTTATCACATAAGTACTTATGTATAATTTATTTTTGTTGTAAAAATAAAGTCAAATTGTTTTTAATGTATAAGCTATTTTCATAAGTTATCATAAAGATTTTATGGAAATAATTGGGAAACAAGTTATGGACATGTCATAAGTTGTTTTCATATACCTAACATATATAAGTTGTTACATTTCAAACTAAATTTCCTGTGAAGAAATTGTTGTGTTTGTTTGTCAAGCGAATATTATAGTTTAATCGTGTTCTAGTATGGATGGTTCTATATATTTTCACAGCTTTGTAAACCTGCCAAATCTTTCTGCTTCCATATACAGCATAGATCTTTGTCATAGCAGACCAATTTGGCCACTCTCTACAAGTGTTTTCATTGATTTGTAAATTGTAACATATGAAGTAAAGGACACCAGCATCCATTTCAAACAGCTTTGGCCAGCAAAAATAATCAAATTAATCTGCTTTCTAAGTTTTCTTTAAACCGCGGAATAAATTCATGCAAGAAAAAGAGAATTGCCTTTCATCAACAGGTCCATCTTCAAGCTGAATGTGTGTGAGATGATTTTTACTTCTACACAAAACAAAGGTCTAGTTGAGAAATGGAACATATTTTATTAGATTGTACAAGTAGTAATCCATAAAATAAGGTTTTTATATAATAAAAAATTGGATAAGAGAAATTAAATAAATGTTTTCCTATGGGAACTAAACTAAATATTTGAGAGGTGAATTTCTCTCTTGCAAAGTTAGATGTTATTCCTTCTTGAGATACTGTCCAATATCGGACAAACCAGCTGGTGTAAGCCAGATTTTTAACACTCATTTGATAACAAGACTATGAGGTAAAGTAAACTTGATAACTTACTTGTATCAGAGGACGATCCACAAATATACCGGAGCTTGTTGCGACATCACTCTGGCATCCATGTGGAAGATAGAAGAAATGCATGTCCAGAGATGTTAATGAATACAGTACTAGTGATTCTGATAGGCTAAAAAATTTCCCAATAACCTCAAGACTAAAACTCTGCTTAGTTGAAGCACATCATAGCCATTTTTGTGCAGTAACATAACATTATAACATACATTCACTGTAAGTTTATAATCATATATTCTTCCAGGTTCAAGTTCGTCGGAAGATATAATACTTTCATATAGGATAAAAAAAGAGGAACCACAGATAAGCTTACGTAAAACTTATCCATTTAACAAATTTGGGTTTAGTTGGGTTAGGATTTTGGAGCAATCTTTGAAAACCCAGAGTTGCATATATATAATACAGAGTTGCATATATATTTTAAGTAATATAATGAAACTAAAAAAAAAAAAGATATGCAAGTGTAAAATTGGAGGACATTCATTAAAGAAAACATATCATTCCTACAAATGAAATATAAATACAATCAGTTCGCAAATCACAAAAGCCTAAATCTTTAAAATTAAATTGATAAAACAAGATCATATCACCAACAAGAAAAAAAAAAAACTATTTACTTGATCCACCGATAGAAAGAAGGCTTTTCTTGTAAAGACCGACAATAACATAAAGTGTGTTTCCACCAGCAATATCAACCTCCTTAATTTCTTTGGTGCTCAAATCAACATAGGCTAGTTGACCATCTGTTTTTTCAAAGAAGATATGTCCCGTCTTCCCAAATCCAAATGGGGCCATTCGAGGGAAGGGAAGGGGCCATAAATATATAGTTTGATCCACGATTCAGTCACACCAAGTTCACCCAGAATAGATATGTGAAAAACAATATCATCGTCGTAATTTGAGATTAAGGCAATTGATCCGTTTAACACCACCAAGCGTCTATTATAAGTGTATGAAGTCCAAAATTCTTCCCCGATGGGTGTTGTAATGAATGCCTCATCACTCAGGTCAAACGACAATAGAGTTAATTTAATATGTTCCTCGATGTTAGTGTTCCAAATCAACCAATGACACGCTCCATCCACATAAACTTCAAAACCAGCAAATGACAAAGGATAAATCCAATGAGCCAGCTCAATCGTCTTGCTCATGTTGATCCATCTCCAAGAATTACTTTTTAAACTATATATCTCAAAAGAAGTTTCTGAATGCCAACATGGCACTCCATCAAGATCCAATGCTACACATTGAATGACCTTAAAGTCGTCTCTAACTTGGTCATAACCAAACCCATGAAATTGTTTACCACAGAGATCGGACCAGGGTGGTCGACGGTGGAACTCATGTAGAACGATAATGGATTAAAGCTTTCTCTCTCGTCAGGTTCCTCCAATTCGTACCACATTGGACCAAAGTGTTTGATGACCCTTTTTTCCTCTGATTCGGAGGACTTGTTTCCCTTAACCATCTCGGAGAAGGTGGCGGAATCCATCTCTGATTCGGAGGACTTGTTTCCCTTAACCATCGGATCAGCGTCGGAGACGGTGGCGGAATCCATTTCTGATTCGGATGATTTCGCTTGGTTAGAATTAGGGTTGCAAAACTCTCTTAATTTATTTTATTTGATGTTAAATGTTGAAATTCAAAATCATAAAATTCTCAAAATATTTGTCTCAAGATGAGACTTGAACCTATTATCCTTCCACTACCAACACTAACATTCTTACTATTAGGCTTTGATATATTTAAAACAAACTGAGTTTAATTTTTAACAAATATATATTTACATAAATAATCTAAAGTTAATTTTTAATATAATTTAATAAATTGAAAATATTTTTAAATTGATGTACCGTCAATTGTTCTCATATCTCATCTCACACTCAATCCAGATTATACTCTAAATATTTGTAAACAACTTGCATTAACTCTTTTTTCAAAGTTGCATCTTGATCGTACCTGACCAGAATGGACCGTCACAGTTAGCTCGAGCAGAAGTTGAGAGTGAGGTGGGGAGTACCTGCAAGACACTCTGATGCCAAAGTGAGTTTGGGAATGAACAAGCAAGTATGAGAGTTTAGAAAGTGTTGAATACTTGACCCTCTCAGAATAGAGGGTATTTATAGCCTCAACGTTGAGCCAAGGTTCCCATTATTGGGCCACGTTGAGGCCCAATAACGAAAATTGTCAGGGCTTACGTGTGTATGGAGTCCAGCAAGTGGACTCCCCTTGGTCAAATGCTCTGCGAGAATAGGGTGTGATTCCCAGAGGGCAGTTAAGATGATTGACATGAGGATGTGGGCCAAGTTCCTCAACAGATATATGGGGAGTTGCCCAACGGTCCCTAACTTGAGTTGTCTGTTTGGGCCTTATACAAAGGTATTGGTTTGGGCTTCCTATCTGAGGGGCAAGTGTAGGCCCAGTCCAGATCAGGAGCCCCCCCAAGTTATTGCCCTTGAGCTAAAGGGTGATGACTTAAGTTCAGCTCTCATGGTCGGAGACTTGATCGAGAAGAACGGTCAAAGTCCTCTAAAAGGAACGAGTTGTTCCCCGCATGGGGGACAAGTTCAAGTGTGTCGGGGATATTATGGGTGAGCGAGCAGTGAGATCGAAGGGGTCAGTCGCTTGCTCGAGAGGACCGTATTAGTTATGGGGAGCCTCCGCGAGATCTCTTTCGACGCGCCCGTCTTCAGGGAGTTGTCGAGGTGTCAGGAATTATTTGGTCCCTGAGGTAGTTGAATGAATGTGCCCGTGTACGCGCCACAACGTCGAACACTCCCTCGCGTGGGGTATCTGTCTCGTGCTTGTATGGGGATTACGCGTTAGAGTTGGGGATATGCTCGTCGATCTAGAAGGGACATGTGGTTGACTGTTGAGCCACGTGGCTAACGCTTTAGGGTGCCACCCCTTCAAGGGGAAACCAAAAGGCCCAATCAAATGATGACTTTTCGTGATGGACCTCGTGGGGCATGAGTCACCTATAAAAGGGGCCCTTGGGTCTCATTTGTCATCTTCTCAAGTTCTCCTTCAACTTCTCTTGCTCGTGCGTGAAGCTATCCTCCCAACTTTCCCAAATTTTTTCTTCAAGAGTTCTTCATCCAAGTAAGTTATATCCGCTTAACATGTTTCTTCAGCGTTTCTGGATTAAACATCTAAAATTTGCCTTGACTGGATGAACATTTATGAGTTCTATGATGAACACTCATGAATGTTCATTGATATTCATTAGTTATGATGTTGGGGGAGTTCTCCCCGAATAGTGTCCATGATACAGGGGACGTCCTTCATGGATAGCGGGGGTTGACTCGAGTTTCTTGCTCGTTGAGTGAATATCCCCCACGACAATGTAGTCTGCTTTAGCATATAGTCGAGGGCTTGGGTCGAGTTCGTCACTCTTTCACTTGATCTGCAGTGGAAGGGTGAATTTGATAAAGTCGAATTCACTGTTTTCCCCTACTTTTCAGGTATTATGGCGCACTCAGTCGGGGATGACGTTATGGCCTCCAACTATGAAGAAGAGCCACACGGTGATGAGGACCCTCTGGCGTGGGTTGCTCCTAAGCCTCGTAATAAACGGTCGTGCTTTTCTCAGGATGCAACAAACGCGTTCAATTATCCGAAGGTACGAGCGAAAGGGGCACCTGCCAACTGGATGCTTCAGATTCCCCACCGCAACCGGAGAATATGCTCGACGTATCCGGGCAAACGTTTCCCTATGTACGAATTCGCGTTTAAAGAGGCGGGGATGCGTTTTCCCTTTAATGATTTCCAAGTAGGGGTATTTCAATGGCTTCAACTGGCACCTTCTCAGTTTCACTCGAACGCGCTGGCGTTTATGCGAGCGTTTGAGCTTGTATGCCAGTATCTGCAGATAGCGGTCACGCTACCCCTCTTTTTCCGTATCTTTCATCTCCAAAGACAATCCGTCGGAGGGGGCAAGCTTGGGTGTCGTTCAAGCAGTTCGGGAAGCTCTTTAGGCCTTATCTAGATTATGTCCGACACTTCAAAGAGAGGTATTTTATTGTAAAGCCTCTGATGGACGCGGCCATAAATTCCCTGTACACTCGCGTGGAAGAGGTAGAGGACGGGCGGCCAGTCACCCGGCTCGTGGCCAGATTTCCGCTCGAGTGGCAATGGAAGCACTTCAAGCAAAGACCTGAATATTACACCGAGAAGCCCGAGGACCTGGACGCTCAGGACCAACTTTCATATGAGAAGCTATCGCCCTATGTTAGGAGCTTCTCCCCCGCGAAGTGCATGGATGTGAACAACAACCTCTTGTTCGACAACGAGGGGGAGTATCTTTTAGTTAATAGGTTGGTCAACACCAAGGCCCTGCTTGAGTGCTCCTCAGACGGGGAAGCCATGAGGCTTTTAGGTAGGGGACGTAGCCATGATGATTAATTTTGCTTGTCTTTAAGCGGGGACGTGCCCGTGTTATTTTTGATGCTCTACCCCGACTAACGGTTCCCTTTTGATTGCAGGTCGAATGGCTTCCCTTTCTGAGCGCTTGTTGAAGTTGAGGCCCAATAATGCATCTACCTCCGGGCCCAAGAGCATGGTCACTCAGCTCCAGGAGCATGCCAAATCTGCGGGTTGTGGCAGTGGTTCCCCCTCTTCATCAAAAAACCGGGTTCCCTCTGGTGAACCCATCCAGATTCCCGTCAACGAGCCCGTGACGAAGAGGAAACGTGTGGAGAGCGCCCTAGGGTGACAAAGTGCCCACGGGGACCTTTGTGTTACCTCCTTGGTATCTAAACTGCGACCTCTTCAATGGGGAGAACTCCCTGGGCGTGCGCGAGGAGGAGAGGGAGGCAATCTTGTCAGAGGATAAGGAATTTCATCACAAGAATTTAGCGAAAGATATGGCCGCTGTGATGAGGATGCTCGAGACAGCCCTTTCGCTGAATGATGAGGTCGCGAGCTCTCAGGTCTCTCTCGACACAACCTATGCCAAGATTCAAAAGCTGAAGGCCAAGAATGAGAAGTTAAAGTGCGACATCCTTAACCATGATTCAAGGTTCAAGGCCCAAGTTCGACTTCTCAAGGATCTGAATGAGTTGAGGCCCCAACTGGAGGCCGCTGCTAAAGAGAACGAGCGACTGGTCGCGCACACGAATGAGTTAGAAGGGATCATTGCCCCGACCGAGGAGGAAACTGATGCGGAGAAGAGCATGGTGTCCAAGGCAGAGTTGATCGCTCATATCCGAGTGCTTGAACAAGACGTCGTTGACACCCTCAGCTATGGTTTCAACACGATCGTTGAAGAACTGAAGATCCTGAACCCGGGGGTGGAGATGGTGGTTGAAGCAGCGGGTCCGTTCAACCAAGTTATTGATAGGCAGATCTTTTATCCCCCCGATAATAGTGACGGGGAAGGCGAAGTTTGATTATTATTATTATTTAGGGCCTGCGTACCCGTTCCCATTTATTTTGTTTGTGGTCATCGTGCCTAATTTGTAATTATTTTGAACAGCATCGACCTTCGTGGTCGGTATTTTATAATTGTTTTGCTTTGCTTTGATGCCTATGTTTTTGCCGATGTTAGGCTTATTATTATTTTGTTCATCGTTGTTTTCGACTTATTTCATGTATACTTTGTATATTCCGCATGGAGACAGGTGTTCGACCTTTGTTGTGGTCGACACAAGTTTTACATGAGTTTGTGTTCTTCACGTGGAGATATGTTCTCGACCCTCATATTTGTTTGGCACATGTTGTGATGTATCGAGGCACAAAATCGAGATCCGCGGAACGAGCGTATAATCGCGGTCGGGATCCTACGCTCGTGGCGTGAACTGTCCATCGCGAGTTGGGTGTTCTGCCATGTTGGGGTACTTCGATAGCATAGCTCGATCGAGGGGTCTCTGTTGGGGTAGGATGTTGCTCGTTGAAATAAACAACTTCCTGCCCTTTGTTGGTTTGGAGGTCATGTCTGTACCTAGACGTACCTACATGGTCGAGCTTATCCCTTCGTCAATTGCATAGGACAAGTCGACAGCTACCTCCCCCAGCGGGTGAGGGACTTAGCTATGATATTGCTTTAGCTTTGCAGCATTCCAGGGTCGAGGTAATGGTTCTCCATTTAGTTGTTCGAGGTAATATGCTCCAGTTCCCGTAACTCCTTGGATGCGGTACGACCCTTCCCAATTCTCGGCCAGCTTCCCCTTGCGGGAATCTTTTTGGTTTCTTTGCAAGACTAAGCTACCAGCCTGAAATTCGTGCTTTATGACTTTGTTGTCATGGTGTAGGGCTACCTGCTATTTTATCGTTCCCTTACGAAGAGCTGATCTTGATCGGATTTCTTCGACTAGGTTGAGCTCAGCTCTGAGGGCCTTGTTGTTCATCTCCTTGTCGAGGGGCATTTCAGTTCGCCTATATGGCTCCGTGATTTCTATCGGGATGACAGCCTCGATGCCGTAGGTAAGTCAAAATAGCATCTCGCCAGTCGTCGAATGGGGAGTTATTTGGTAAGCCCATAGGACGCTGTGTAGTTCTTCGACCCATCCTCTTTTGGCTTCACCTAGCCTGCATTTTAGTCCTTACAAGATGACCTTA